TAACTCCAGCATTAAGAAGGAACAAATACAGTAAGGCAAATGCCTCTATCAGAATAAGACCCTAGCGTTTGTGTATGGTAACCCCATTCGGTGGCCCATGCGTTAAAGTCGCCAGTACCCGCTGCAGGCGAGCATAGACGTACATCGATTACAAGGTTGTCAATATCCTCGCTGAACTCATCGAGTGACCAGCTATGGGATAGGTATCAACTGTAAGCCCACAGATCCTTTAGCTTAGGCCTAACACGCAAGTGTTGACTTTTTCTCGCTTCTTAACAAATAAATGTAGCATTGTGTGATGCGCTATCCAATAAAGGATGCTTATGTTGTTTTCTGACACCTAATTATACCCGGTACTCGTAGAGTAAAAGGGTATACTAGATTCGTCGGAAAGTATGTAACAGGCAGAAGAAAGCGTTTCCGACCATATAAAGTAAATACAGTGGGGAGCAAAGTTATTCCATGTTCAGCATATGCATGTTCAACAGCTCATAAAACGTAAACCAATGATCCAAATGAAACAAACTTTTTTTCTCGGTTACTTATTCAATTTGTAAGAAATAAACTTAAATACTACAATAATACAAGAAAAAATACAAGAGATAGAAAAAAAATCAAAAACAAAAGGCATGTACACCCAGAAAAAAATCCGTTCGAAACGTTCAAAAATCAAGACCAAACGTTGTCAAAAAGTGCGTGAGCCCGTTTGTTGACAGTTCATGAACGGTCGTTCGTAAAATGTGACCGAAACTTTAGGGTCGGGTTCCGAACGAATGGTGTCAGTTTAAGAACATTTCGGGCTTAAGCTGAGAACATAAAAATCTAAAAAAAACGAGGTTTGTGTACACGCTAGACTTTTTGGACGCCTGGTAGAGATTTATTTAATTTCCCACCTTATGTTTTGTTATTGCTAGAATTCAATGTATTTTGGATATTTTGCTGAAGACAAAGAATTTATTTATTAATAGAAGTACATGTAAACATTAGAAATAATATTTTAATAAAACTTACAATTCACCACCGTCTTCTCGCGGACTCGAACCTGTGCTACCATGTGTCGGAGGCGGACGCTCTAGCAGCTGGACCACCGAGCGAATTTTTCGAGTGCGGACAATCGGGACACTAGACCTACATACATGTTTTTATGAACGCTGTTTATAATTTATCGATTTCGATAGACTTTAACGCGTCTGTCGCAGCTTTTTCATGAACGGCGTTCGATATCTGAGAACATTTTTCGCAATTTGGAAACAAGTTGTTCGTCGGTAGAAATTGTTACCAACACCGTTCGATTTTCGTGAACAAACGTTCGAAATGTGAGAACTAAAAATGGAGAACGGATTTTTTGCAAGCAGTGTTATTGGCATAGGCCCGGTAACAAGCTTCAGAGACATCATGTAAAGCAAACCGTAAAGCATGGAGGAGGAAATATAATGGCTTGGGGGGGCTTCACATGGTGGCACGTTGGGCCGTTGCACAAAATTGATGGGATAATGCGAAAAGAGGACTATTTAAACATTTTAAAAACCCATCTTCACAATTTTCTCGATAAGAGTGCCTATCCCCTGAAGGAGAAATCACTTTCCAACAGGATGGGGATCCAAAGCACACAGCAAAAATTGTTAAAGAATGGTTGGCAAAACAAAATTTTAAGGTTATGGAGTGGCCAGCTCAAAGTCCCGACCTCAATCCAATTGAAAATTGATGGTCAATTGTGAAGCGACGGCTCGGGCAGTATCAAGCGGCCTCATGCAACCTTGACGATATCTGGAGACGCGTGGAGATTGAATGAAACCAAGTTCCGAAAGAAATTATACAGAACTTAGTTGAGACTATGCCAAAGCGCATACAAAATGTAATAGACAATAAGTGTCTTTGGACCAAATATTAATTGGGTATTTCTTTAGAATTTTTCATAAAATGTGCAAAACTGAGTACATGCCTTCTGTTTCTGTTCTTTATTTCTATCTCTTACATTTCTTCTTGTATTATTGTAGTATTTAAGTCTATTTGTTACAAATAAAATAAGTTTACCGGGGAAAAAAAGTTTGTTTCATTTGGTTCATTGGTTTACGTTTCATGAGCGGTCAAACATGCATATGCTGAACATGGAATCACTTTTGCTCCCCACTGTATATTCTTGATCAGGATCACTAGCCGAGTCGATCTGGCCATGTCCGTCTGTCCGTATGAACGCTGAGATCTCAGCAACTATAAGAGCTACAATACTGGGATTAGGCATGCAGATTCCTGAGATTCGCCCACTCTAACGCCCATAACACTTAAATCTGTCTACCGCCCACATAACCATGTATTGAGGTCACGGGTAGGGGGCGCATTTGTTTATTTGTTCGTATAATCGCCAAGGTCGCGGGAACTATAAAAGCTAGCAAGGTGGTACTATGTATGTAGGTCGTGGATAATTTTGAGCAGCGCAAGTTTATTTCAGCACGGTGACGCCCTAAACTATAAAAGATAGCAAGCTGGTATTGTCCATGCAGATTATAGGTATTCTTGCGCAGAGCATGTTTATTTCAGTTTATTAATTGTGATGCCCACATTTTCGAAGATTTAAATTTTAAACACATTTTATTTTGTTCCGCTGGTCAATACCTACCGGCACGGCCAAACTTAATTATACCCATTACTCGTAGAAAGGGTTATCCTAGTTTCGTTGAAATGTATGTAACAGACAGAAGGAAGCGTTTTCGACCCCATAAAGTATATATATTCTTGATCAGCATGACTAGACGAGTCGATCTAGCCATGTCCGTCTGTCCGTCTGTTCGTACGTTTCTACGCAAACTAATCTCGCAATTTTAAAGCTATCGTGCTAAAACTTTCCCAAAAGTCGTATATTTTTTGCAGGTAGTATATAAGTCGGAACCAGCCGGATCGGACAGCTATATTTTATAGCTTCCATAGGAATAAGCGGAAAATTTTTTTTTTAAATTATATCTTTGGTGTTTTTTAACATATAACCTCCTAAGCTTAGAATTAACATTTTTTAGCTAGTTTTGAAATTCGAATTAAATTTTAGCAAAATCGGACGACTATATCATATAGCTGCCATTGAAACGATCGGAAAATTGGTGGAAAAATAATATGAAACAAATTATAGCTTCGGTGTTTTTTAACATATAACTTCCTACGCTTTGAAATAACATATTTTAATTAGTTCTGAATTTCGAATTTAATTTTATCAAAATCGAACGACTATATCATATAGCTGCCATTGAAACGATCGGAAAATTATAATTTTTTGTATTTTTCAATTTAATAATTATAACTGCAAGGGTATACAAAGTTGCCGAAGTTAACTTCCTTTCTTGTTAAACTTCACTTATTCACTATTACAATATTATAGGTCGAACTTATATTTTATTCACTGCTCTTTAGTTTTCACTCGTTTAAACTGCTGGATTCGGTTCTCAAAAACATAATGCCTGATTTATAATCCAACCTCGGCTTTAGAGATTTATCTCAAAATTGTTTATCTCAAAATCGATTAAGAGAGTGACTCAAGAAAGTCGGAAAATAGGATGATGCAATTTGCCAGTTAAATTTAAAGTTGAAATGCGATTAGTGGACCTTAGGGATCGCTTTGGGAATCTTGTGTTTACGTTAGCAGACTTCACGTCTCGCTTTGGGGCTCTGATGTTTACAATATCGGATTGGATGTTTACACCATGCATACTATTGATTCGGAGTGTATGAAACTAATCTTGTTGGGAATAATTTGGAGGCGTAGTTGAGAGAAATAGCTGTCAACGGACTTATTTCGGAGTCAGTCTGAGTTATTTGGAGATTGGCTCTTGGCTCAAAGTTGTTTATAAATTGGGTAAGTGCCCCTAAATAATGTGTTATTTAACTTGCATATGCTAACATACATATGTACATAGAAATCTGTGGTTGTTAATAGCATCCAAGTTATTAAATTATTTCACACATTAGCTTATTAGTTTACGTTACTAAATATGTTAATTGAAATCTGCGGTTTTTATAGCATCCAAGATATTAAATTATTTCACACATTAGCTTATTAGTTTACGTTACTAAATTTGTTAGTGTATATAACATGTTAGTGTATAAACAGTAATTACACCATATTACCGATTTCGTTTTCTTATAAAAAACGTGTTCGAATAAAAATCACAGAAAAAAGTAACACAAATTGTAAAAAAATCATTTTTCCTAAGTTGTAAATATGGAAGGGCTTTTATAAGGTTAAAATCCTGGAGCTGGTTCTCAAATTTTTGGTCATATTCGTTGTAACTCATTTATCACACCGCACCGTTTTACCATATACGAAGAAGTGAATTTGCACCGATAAAGACGCCGCTTACTTCGAGGAAATTTCAAGAGAGGAGTTCGGTCTCTCTCTCCTCTAACTCTTATTATAAAACTACGTCTTTCCCCTTACCTCCCTTGTCAACAACCGCAAAACCGAAAGTGATTTTAGGACGAAATACTAAAGTCGACATCGCTTTCGTCAAGAGAAGAAAAAGGTGAGAGGCCACAATACTAAAACCGAGAAGACCGATCTCGGTTTTTTCGATTCTCAATTTTTCTGGGTGTATATGTTAAAATAAACCTTGCATGGCGCCTCAACCGATCAGAGCAGCCTACTAAATGAATTATGTGAAACACTAAACTCTTAACTTAACTCTTAAACAAATAAAAAAAAAAATTCAAATACATACAAATTATTTCATGACAGCAAAACAAAATCTCGAAAAACTTAACGAAGATGTGCAAATAAGCACCTTTCAATTGAATCGAAGGAACATTTGCGAAATGAAATTCAATATACTCGATCAAAGTAGTGAGAAAGAGACAGCCATATCAGAGCTCAAGCCAATACATATGTACACTAAAAGAACTGAACGAAAGTTTGCCATCTGAAAAAGTTGAACAAAAATTAGCAATCGAAATGAGCAAGATAGACTTGGAAGAGTCACATACATATGTAAAAAACGGTGTCTTAGCAAAATTATTTATTTATTTATTCTCAGGCTAAAAGGCAATTGAGAAATTACCTATAGCCTATGCTTTTCATTGTAGCTATAGCTACTGTGGCCTTAAGCTACGTTTGTTATGTTACAATTTACATTTTTACATTTAGACTATGTCTAGGTTTTAAATTACATGGTATAATTTTATTGCCTTTAAGAAATTCATGGAAGCTATGATATTGGGGGTGTTGGGGGTAAGGAGTTCAGACGGGTTTGAGGGTAGGAATTGGTTTCTTACCGATAGAAAGAGAGGACATTCTAGGAGAATGTGTTTGATGGTGATCGATGTGTTGCAGCGCTCACATTGCGGTGCTGCTTGTTTGTTTATTATGTGTTCGTACGTGAGCTTGGAGTGTCCTAGCCTTAGTCTTGAAAACTTAACCAAGTCTTGGCGGTTAATATCGTTTGCTTTAATGTTGTAATTTTTTAGAGATAGTTTGTTGGGGTTTATAAGTTTATAGTGGTCTGAAGTATTTTCCCATAGAGATGCGAATTGTTTTTTGAAATTCTGTTTGATAAATAATTGTGTGACCTTGTAGTTGTAATTGTTTTCGTAGAGGTGTGGAAACAAGTGAGCTTCCTTGGCAGCTGCGTCAGCTGTGTCATTTCCAGTTATGTTTGTGTGTCCTGGGATCCACACTAATTTTATGTACGACTGGTGACTGTTGAGAATATCTCTGATTCGAGCGGTGTAGAAGGATTGGTTGCTTATGTTGGCTATTGATTGCAGTGACGATAGTGAGTCCGAGCAACTGACGAATCTCTTCTTTTGTGATACAGCGTAATCGCACGCTGCATAAATAGCTGCCACTTCTGCCGTGAAGACAGAGCTATGTGGGAGTGCTGTTTTAATGATGCGTGTGTCCGTAGTGATGCTATAAGATACTCCGTGCCCAGACTTGGATCCATCTGTGTATATGAATAAGGGAGAGGAATTTTGTTTGAAATACAGTTGCAGGAGTGTTCGATTTAGTTGTGTAATGTAGTGAAAAGTCTATTTTATCTTCTGAGAAGGACCATGGTGGGAGTTTCTGTTTCCTTAATTTAACTGAAGTGCTGTTAATTCCATTTTCGAGAACGAATTCTCACGCCTTATGTAGGAACGATGGGATTCTGGGTTTTCTTTTAGCGTTCTTTATCTTTTGAAGGACGGTTTGAAGTGGCGTATTTTTGTCGAATGTGAAAACCTTACAAATCCGCGCAGTGGTCAGCTCAAGTCTAATCTCGATAGGTGTAATATCGGATTCGATTAGAAGGTTATTGATTGGAGTTGTACGTGGTGCTCCAAAAGCAAGTCTTAAAGCAGCATGGTAGATAGTTTTGAGTTTTCTTAGACAAGAGAGAGGGAAATTCCCATAAAATGGGAGACAGTAGTCAATCTTGGACATTACAAGAGCGTTTATTGTATTTATTAAAGATCTGGTGTCGCAGTTGTATCTACGATTGCCTAACCATTTAATTATGTTGAGTCTTTTTGATAGTTCTACTGCCAGAGTGTCTATGTGATCTTTCCACCTGTACCTACTCGATATGGTGAGGCCAAGGATTTTAAGGGAATTAGCTTGGTTAAGAGAGTATGCTTGTGATGTGATTGTAAAATTAGACCTATGTTTCCGGCAGATATGCAGATGTTTGCATTTTTGCACGGAGAGTTTCGCTCCTGAGTAGTAACACCAGCTTAATATGTCTGTGAATATTCTGTTTACAGACATTGTGTTTACATTTTTATGAATTTTCTTCAGTGGTGAACCTTGAGGGCTCCCATTGTACAGTGGTCTGTCTTCAGAAAAAGTGTTGCTCACTTTCACTTTTATCTTGCGATTGGTTAGGAAGTTCTTTACGTAATTCAACAATTTTGGTCCGATTTTCCATCTCTGTAACTCGTCTATTATTGCGTGAATTCCTATTTTGTCGTAAGCTTTTTCGAAGTCGAGACTAATAATTGATATGTGGCTTCTGGTTGATAGGGCTGCGGTAGTCTGGTAGTCTAACAGAGTTAGGCATTCAGATACGGACATGCCCTTTCGAAAACCGAGCTGTCGACTATGGAGGAGTTTGCAGTTTATTGCAAGCCACCAGAGTCGGTTTGCTATGATTTTGTCACCTTCGAAAGACAAGGGTTGAGCGATATGGGACGATACGAGGTTACAGATGTTTTGGGAGTATTGGGTTTATGGATCGGTATTATAATACTGTTTTTAAATTGCTGAGGGATGTGGCTCTCTAGGATTTTGTTGTATAAATTTATTAACCGGCTTGTTAATGGCTGACTGAAGTTTTTAATCATAGGGTATGATATGCGGTCAAGACCGGGTGTCTTTCCATTGAGGCTGTTTAGAGCTGCTTTGAACTCAATCAATGTGATTTTAGATTCTATTGAAATTGCTTCCGGTGATGGGTTGTGGGATACATTCATTGAGTAGACTCTGTTCTTATTAGTTTGGAATGATTCGGTAAATTTAGAGTCCGAAGACGATTCTGACCAGTGAGTGACGAGGACTTGGGCTATGAATTCTGAATTTATAATGTTTATGGGTGGATCTGAGGGAAATGTTAAGCAGTGTATATCATTTCTGGTTTTTCTTCCGCAGAATGTATTGATGTTTGCCCATATTTTTGAGGGACTTGAATTGGGGTTGATTTCTGCAGTAAACTTTTGCAGAGAGCTGCGTTTTGCTTGTTTCAGTTCTCTTCTAAACAAAGCCTTACTTTTCTTGAACTTTATGATGTTCTCGAGAGATATGTTTCTTCTTAGCAAGTACCACGATTGGTTTTTATTGGTTCTAAGTTGTTCGAGGGATGTGTTCCACCAAGGGACGGTTTTCTTTTTATTAAATGCTGGGTTTGATTGCGGGATTGCTGTGCTTGCGCTTTGATGGGTTATTTCTGGGGTGAACAATTTCTGTGAGTGATGTGAAGAGGGGCCAGTTTGCGGTTCCTAGCTTGTATCTTGGATCTTGTAGCTTTTACTGGAATTTTCATTATCAAAAAGCATAATATGGATGGGAAAATGATCACTACCGAAGAGTTCATGATCGGTTTTCCATTTGGTCTGGGTGACGAGGTTTGGGGTAATTATTGTTAGGTCCACGTGTGTCATTGTATGGTGAGTTGAGAAATGGGTTGGGGAGCCATCGTTTAGAGTAATTAGGTTAGATTGTGAAATGTATTTAAAAATCGTACATCCAATTCTATTATTGTTAGGCGATCCCCAGCTTTGGTGCCAGCTGTTGAAGTCACCTGCTATGATGGTATTTTCATTGGGATTACCATACATATTTTCCAAATTTCGTAGTTCAAAATTCTTTTTTGGGGCAATGTAAGTGGATATGAGACGAAGCTTTTGTTTGGAGTGAATAATAACTCCTACAGATTCGAAATCGTTGTTAAGATTAACTTGTTCGTTCTGTATTGAGTTGTGGATTAGAATTCCTACTCCACCGTGGGAGTTGTTTGATGTGTTTTTATGTATGAATGTGAAGTTGATAGGGATGGGAATGTTAGCCGTTACAGTTCCATTGCAGGATTCATACCATTGTGATAATTTAAATAGTTATTTTTTATATATCTACTTAAAGTTCTTCCTCAGAGCTGTTGTGATTGGCTAGTCTTCTTAATTCGTTAGCTAATTTGGTAGTATTTATAGGCTTTGTTTTGTCTGATTTATCTCTGGCTTTGAGAGGGGGTTTTGATGTTAGGGCTTCTAAGCTTACGGTCGGATTCAGTCATCTTCTTCTTTGGGAGGGTCGTAGTGGAATCTGATGAAATCTCAGTCTCCATTTCTTCAATGACGGTGCGTTTGGACGAAGTGGTGGGTTGGTGATCCATGATGTCGGTGTATGACCTTAACTGACGGTTGGTGCTTGTGCTGGTAGGTGCTTGGGTGCTGGCAGTCTTTTGGGCTTCGCTTACAGTGGTCGTTGGTTGATTGGTGGACGTTATCTTGGAGTACGGAGTTGATTGATGGATGTGGCGCATATTATATATTCTTGTTGTTATTTCTTTTTGTTTAATAAAGGCGGGGCATATTTTATCTAGTGGGCTGTGATTGAACTGGTTGTTTATGTCATACATGCAGTTTATGCAAAACTTAGGTTTGTCGCATTCGATGTCCTCTGTGGTGTGTGCTTCTGCGGAACAGTTGGAGCAGGTTTTGTGGCTTCTGCAGAATTTGGTCGGGTGTCCAAACTTCAGGCAGTTACGGCATTTCAGTGGGCGTGGAATATGTGGTCGAACTCTAACTCTCTCGTATCCTATCATCAAGGTTTCGGGTAGAGTTGTTGATCCAAAAGTGACGGTTATGAGTCCTGATTCTTGTAGAATTTTGTTCTTCATGATACATATTTTTTCAATGTTGGTTACCTTTTGCGACTTAAGCTCGTTTAGTATATCCAATTCATCTATGTTGCGAAGTTCATAAGAGTAGATGACTACTTTTGAGAAATTTAGACTTTCATGCTCAGTTACGGAAACAGTGAAGTTGTGGAATTGCGTTAGCTTTAATAATCTATATGCCTGGTTTGCGCCTTTGGTTTTAACTAACAAGGTTCCGTTTCTATTCTTGTTACAAGACTCCACTTCGCCATCGCAGGTGAAGTCAATGACCTTTTTAATCACGAATGGTGATACTTTTTCAAATGTCTCATTGTCCGTTCTGGTGATCGTGAGAAATTTCGGTTCGAATAGTGCTGTTCTTGTAGACAGACGGGGCAAGTCTAAGTCCGGTGGTCGACGCATTGTTGTTGTACCTGGGTTGCCGCCCGCTGCACAAGGCACTTGTGCGCGTTTGTAACGGTTGCGATATTATTTTTGTTATTGGGTTTTTTTCGAAATTTTCTTTGAGCACTTATTTGTGTTTACACAAATTGTTAGAACTTTGTATTTGTAACTGCTGGTACTCGCGGAGTTCTGCTGATAGCACGTCTTTACTCGATGAGGTTTAGCAAAATTTATAAGAATGATTGTGAAAATGCAGACCAACAATAAAGTACTTTCCCTTAATTTTAAATCATTGTAGATCTAACTATTACTTGCATGAACCTTTCAGAGTATTATGTTCTGACTATAATAGATCGTTAGACTGCCTCTCTTAAAACGATTAATATTACATTTTCTAGCACAGTATTAGATCCTACTTTTTTTCCTCGAACTACAACTTTATTTTTCTACGCGTAAATCATCTCGCGATTTCTTGCCGTACGACACACATCGGCGCCCCTCGGTCGGTTGGGCGGGAGGTATTGCCGTGGGATCCCGCGCGATTTATAAAAAATAAAAAAGTGTGGAATTAATAAAAAACGTGGTTTCAAGTATTGACGTTGTCCTAATCCCCATTAGGCAATGGTTGGTAAATTTCGACGAAACCCCAGACGCTTATGATCTTAACGAAATGCAAAAATGCGTCGACCCTAGGAACAAAGTGAGTGGAACAGCTAAATGGTTCCTAGAAACTGTGGCAGTATATAACATAGTTTTGAACATGAACATGAACTATGAAACATAGATTTGTGTGAAAAGTTAATGGACCAATTCGGTATATAGTTGAGTAGTGCCAAAATTCATAAAACGCTAAGAAACCGCGAAAAACGCGCGTCTGAAATTTTCTATGAAAATGTTCTCCAAATGCGAAAAATTGCAGCACAGGGTCATTTTGAAGATCAGTCGGTAATAAGTTATATTGTAGATGGCTTAGAGGTGCGTGATGACTCAAAGTTTCCGTTGTATAGTTCGACGTCACTTAAAGAGCTTAGAAGTCGGTTTTAGTTGACAGGGTCGGTTGCAAGAAACAGTTCGTTCATACGTATGTAGACCAAATTTCAATCGCTCTGAAAAATTGGGAAATCAATTGAACCATAAACAGCAGCATTGCTAAAACTGTGGGTCCGCTGACCATAAAATAGCTGAGTGTAGGGGCAACCTAAAATGTTTCATTACGTGATCGTGAGCTACTAAAACGGTTCCTCAAGCTGTTCGGTTTGGGTAAAGTCGCAACCTTAGTTTTGGGTGCATTTTCGGAGGCGGTTCTAGTTGTTTCTAGTTGTTCCGGACACAAACTTAAAAGTTGATGTTTTAGTTGAATACGATTTTCTGCAGAAATTTACTGTAACTCTCACTAGCAGCGGTTAAACCTTTACGCTGGCACAGGTTGAAAATAAGGAAGAACACCCCAAGTTAAATGTACTTAGCGTTGTAAGCTCAACCGAAGAATTTGATATAAATGTAAATTCAAAACACGCAGCTACATGTCGAAAAGTAACCTTGAAGAATTCCCAATAAAGCTAAGTATCACCAAAGGACAGAATTGCTTTCCATGAAAGTCCAAGTCGCCTGTCGATCCCTGAGCGAGAATTTGTAAAAAAAAAGTAGAAGAATGGCTTAGCAGTGGCATTATTCGAGAATCATGTTCTGAAGTGGGAAGCAAAGTAGTTCTGGCCAAAAAGAATGAACGAACATACAGATTGTGCGTACTAAACTAAATTAAACACGGTCGTTTTGAAAAACAGATTCCCTGTTCCCATAGCTGATGAGGTATTAGAAACGATGCAAGCAGCTAAATTTTTATAGTAATGGACCTAAAAAAACAGTTTTTTATCATGTTGCAGTTGAGCGGCAAAGCCGAAAATACACTGCATGTGTAACAAAAGAAGGGCTATTCAAATTTAACAAAGCTCCTTTGAATTCTGACATAGTTGTGTTTAATGACCCTTTATGTGGTCAAAATGCTAATTCTTGAAGAGAACATAAGCTTTTTGGGATATGAAATAGAAAACTTGCATGTTTGGCCAGGGCATGAAAAAGTGAAAGATGTGCTAAATTTTTTGACGCCCAAAAATATAAGGCTTTTCTTAGGCTGTCAGGATATTTCAGAAAATTTATCAGAGAGTATATATTGATTGCCAGACCACTGACCGAGATTCTAAGTAAAGAACCATGGCTTATTATCGATCCTTTGTAGATCCGAGCTGTAGAAGCCGGCCTTTGGTCTGAAAAGGGCCTTTGCATTAAACAGAATGCAAACCTTCAGCTGCACGTGGATGCGTCGAGGGATGGCTTTGGGGCAACACCTTTCCAGCAGCATGACAGCAGCATTACTTGCACCCTGTCAAGTACTGGAGCAAGAAGACAACGCCACAGAAAGAAAAATTACACAGTTATTTCTTAGAAATTAAATCAGCCTATTTAGCAACCAAAAAGATAAGACATTTCCTTATAGGCATCGAATTCGATCTCGTCACTGACTGTGCAGCCTTTAAGATGACAACAACACAGAAAGACGTCCCTCGTGAAGTAGTTCAGTGAACCTTCAAGATTTCTTGTTCAAAATAGAAAATCGTGCTGGGACCAGAATGAAGCAGTCATGATCGTCACGGCAGAAATCCAGTCACAAAGAGCGCAGAGTAGAGATGAACCCCTATCATCCGTAGCATAGATCCTAAAGGAGAAACCTTATGCTCAATACAAGGTAAAAAACAACTAAATTTACAGGTAGTTTGCTGGAGCCGAGTAGCTCGCTATTCCAAAATTTATAGAAAAAGGGATTTTAAGAACAGCTCATAATTTTGGTCACATGGGATTAGAAAACTCAAAGCATGCAGTCCAGCAGGAGTAATTTATACCTAACTTGTTTCAAACTGCATCGAGTATATAAGTCACAATAGATAAGGGACACAAGCCGTTATCAACCCTCCACGTTGATCATCTAGGATCCTTAGTTATAACGGCAAAGAAGTACAAGTATATAATCGCAGTGATTGACGGATTTTCGAAATACACCTGCTTATATCCCACTAAATCGACTGACGCTCATGAAGTCATAAAACATCTTAGTACTCATTGAGTAAAAGGGTATACTAGATTCGTCGAAAAGTATATAACAATTAGAAGGCAGCGTTTAAGATCCTATAAAGTATATCATCAGGATCCCTAGCCGAATCGAACTAGCTACGTTCGCCTGTCTTTTCGTCCGTATGAACGCTGATATCCTGGTAACTATGAAAGGTAAAAAGTTGTGATATGGCATGCAGATTCCTGATGATCATGCGTAGCACTAGTTTCATCAGGGCGCCACGCCCTCTCTAACGCCCACAAACGCTTCTAACACTTAAACCCGTCTAGCGCCCACATTTTTTAATGTTTTGTAAAAATATAAATGTGATTTGGTTTTGATTACACAGGTACACAGATGAAAATTAATGAGTTCCAGTTTTCAATGATAATAGGATTCCCCTGAATAAAAGCAAATTTGTATTCCATCAACTACAGGCTTCGTGGACGGCAGAACACTGTGGACGGCAGTACACGTAGTGTCGAAGCGCGCAAGAGAGCAAGCGGAAGCTTGTATACCCTTGCAGCTATAATTATTAAATTTAAAAACACATAAAATGATATTCCCAATAATATAAAATAATATGTCAAAAAACACCAAAAATATATTTTTTTAAAATTTTTTTCCCGATTATTCTTATGGGAGCTATAAGATATAGTTATCCGATATCGGCTGGTTCCGACTTATATACTACCTGCAAAAGATATAAGACTTTTGGGATAGCTTTAAAACTGAGAGACTAGTTTGCGTAGAAACGGACGGACAGAAGGACATGGCTTGATCGACTCGTCTAGTCATGCTGATCAAGAATATATACACTTTATGGGGTCGGAATCGTCTACTTCACTGCGTTGCAAACTTCTGACTGAAATCAATATACCCTCTGCAAGGGTATAAAAAGAAATTATTTGACTACAGTAAAATTAAGTAAACTGAATATATTTATAATGTTATGCTTACGTATATACATTAATATAACAATATAATTTTTTAGTTAAGTTATAGAAATTTAGTACATTAAAATTTATTTAAATATTTAAATGTATTATTTAATATTACCATTTTTAAAAAATTCATTTTGTATTTTTTACAAAGAAAAATACAAAAAGTAGGAATTATGTAGTAGAATATTTTTCGCTTTAGAAAGGGTATAGGTGCAGTGACACGCGCCAACAGCGAAGAGAAAACAAAAGAAATCAAGTTAAGGGGTGAGAGGAAGACTTGGTTCATTCTGTTTGAGCTATTGAAAGGGAAGCAAGCCATTTAAATTGTGCGCAGCAGATTTACTTTCTTCGTTTTTATACCCTTGCAGAGGATATATTTATTTTAGTCAGAAGTTTGCAACGCAGTGAAGCAGACGTTTCCGACCGCATAAAGTATACATTTTCTTGATCAGCATGACTTGACGAGTCGCGCTAGCCATATCCGTCTGTTCGTCCGTTCCTACGCAAACTAGTCTCTCAGTTTTAAAGCTATCGGGCTGAAACTTTCCCAAAAGTCTTATATCTTTTGCAGGTAGTATATAAGTCGGAACCAGCCGTATCGGACAACTATATTTTATAGCTTCCATAGTAATAATCGGAAAAATAATGAAAAATAATTCTATCTTTGGTGTTTATTTAACGTATAACCTCCTACGCATGCAAATAACATTTTCTAATTAGTTTTGAGTTTCGAATTTAATTAAATCAAAATCGGGCGACTATATCATATAGCTGCCATAGGAACGATCGGGAAATTGGTGTAAAATAATATGAAACAAATTATATACTGAAAGGGTATACAAACTTCGGCTTGCCGAAGCTTACTTCCTTTCTTGTTTAAAGTGAAAATAATAAAGTCAGGTAAGTGTTACATTAAGTTGAAGATGTTGTGCATTGATCTTAGTTTAAAGTATTAAGGTATTCAATGGGTTCCGTAAAAAAAACAAGGAAGAACGCTATAGTCGAGTACCTCGACTATCAGATACCCGTTACTCAGCTAAATAGAGATATGCAAGTAGCAAAGCGAGATTAAAATGCGCCACCCACCGGCGGTATACAGATTTAAGCGTTATGGGCGTTAGAGTGGGCGTGGCAAATTTTTTTTGACCAATCGATAGGTATTGACGAGACCAATACATTTCAGTTAAAATTTTTTATCTAGCAAAAAAATTGTGGGCGTCGCGGCTTGTGGGCGTTAGAGTGGGCGTGGCATATTCTCGTAACAAACTTGCGCTGCGTATAAAGCTACGGAATCTAAATCTGAAATCCCAATTCTCTATCTTTGATAGTTTCCGAGATATCCACGTTCATATTTACGATTTTTTGAAGTTTGTGGGCGGTTTTTGGGCGTTAGGGTGGGCGTGGCAAACTTTTTTTGGGCCAATCGATAGGTATTGATGAGAACATTACATTTCAGTTAAAATTTTTATTCTAGCATCAAAACTGTAGGAGCCACAGTTTTGGGCGGTTTGTGGGCGTTAGAGTGGGCGTGGCACTCTACTGAAACAAACTTGCGCTGCGTAAGAAGCTCAGGAATCTGCACGCCAAATCTCAATAACGTAGTTTCCAAGATCTCAGCGTTCATCCGGACAGACAGACGGACAGACGGACAGACGGACATGGCTAGATCGACTCGGCTAGTGATCCTGATCAAGAATATATATACTTTATGGGGTCGGAAACGCTTCCTTCTGCCTGTTACATACTTTCCGACGAATCTAGTATACCCTTTTACTCTACGAGTAACGGGTATAACTAGTAACATAAAACTAGGCTTGTTAACAATAATTATCCTTTACCAGAAAACATAAATAACACTTTTTTATTAAAATGAATTTAAAAGTAAATAAAAGTGTATGTATTTTAAATTCTATATTTTCATAAGTGAAAACTCATTGGAAATATTCTGAATTTCACAAGTGATTTCACTTGGGACGTGTTACTTGCAAGTGATTTCATAAGTGAAAACTCAACTCACCGGCAGGTGACAGGCCATACGAAAAATGAGTATAG